TCGACATGTTAACTAATTGTCATCTTAGCAACACTCCCCAACATTAATATAGAGATGGTATTAAGGAAAGCACCATTAATTAATATTCAAGGAAAGAAGTTAAGAAAATAACTCACAACTTTAATAATCAACAAGCTTCAAGAGCAACACCAAGATGGAAGAGTTTAGCTCCTCATTTGGAGACTAAACATGCTAAAAATATAAAAGAAATACTTAACTAAACTGAGCTAAAGAGTATATGTGAATTGGTCATTTTATTGTGAAGGAAAGGGGTGTATTTATAGGCTTTTGGGAGCTGCAGGGGCTGATACCCGACCGGGTATATAGGATACCCGACCGGGTATCTTAGGAAATTTCCCAGAAAGTCACTTTTCTGGGCATACCCGACCGGGTATGTCGGCATACCCGATCGGGTATGTGACAAATCTTAACGAAATCTTGCTCCCACGATCATTTGTTCCCGGATTTGATTTGGACAATCGAATCAAGCAAATACCCGATCGGGTATAGGCAATACCCGACCGGGTACATGCGTATTTTTTCCAAATCGAAATCTTTCTTGCCTCCTTGCACTTTCCTTGATCTTTTAAGGTCCAATCTTGATCCCTTGGATGATCTTTTACATGTTTAGCTCAGAAAAGTCCTAATCTAAACAAATTACAAATAAATATGAAAATAAAGTATTACACCAAAAGTGTGTAATTTCCTCAACTAGAACTAATAAAAACTAGTTAAAAATACAAACATACAATCGGAAATTACATGAATATCAATAATCAAGGTTTATTAATAGTAAGTTCGGTTTATTTTCACCAGTAAGTAACTTCGGTTTATTAATGCACGGTCGTGGTTAATAAACTTAAGAGGGATTAATTTTGTTGGTTAAACCGAAAGCGTTGTGTTGCGGTTATCAATCTCAATTGATTTCATCAAGGAGTTAGAAAGATTAAATGCTACTATTAAATTGGTATAAGGCGTTGTTCTATATTTGATTAATAGTAAGGGTTATTAATGAACGGTCGTTGTTAATAACTACCCTCGATGAATTGGATATACTCCTCGATTTAGTATTCGAGAGGGGATAAGTTATAGATATAACAAGGATCGACTAAACATATCAACAAGTGGAAAGTAGCAAAGCCAAGTTCTTCTTATCTTTGAATTAAAACCCATATAAGTCATTCATCTTAGTTTTTAATTTAATTTAATCATTCAAACCTAAACCCCCCCTTTAATTACTAGTTCATTAAAAGAAAAGTATTCATTTCCCTATGGATACGAACTCTACTTCACTATACTACGTATAAGTGTTAGTATTGAATATTATTTTGACGCACTACGACAAAGTGCTCGTCAGTGAACTTGGAGGATAACCGTGATCCTTATGAGGTGTACAAGAGTTACCATGCTGAACTAGATCTGGATAATTTTTTCCCAATTTTTTTGCAAGAGGCTTGTGGAAATGTTCCTTCTGTTCCTACCGTTACCACTGTTGAAGATGCAGGAACCAGTGCCACTAGTAAGAAGTGAAAACTAAGGCAGTCTAAGGGACCAGTGAAACTTAGTGAAAATTTAGAGAAGGGAAAAAAGAGAAGGTTGTTGATGATTGTGTAAGTGTTAGCTATGTCATGGAAATTATGACCAGAATGGCTGGCAATGGCGGGCTGGTGAGGAGCGGTGACCTATGGTTTCACAGCATTTGTGTTCTCGCCGGTCTTAGTAGAAGACAATTCTTCATGAACTTTAAAGATGACAATGAAAGGCTCAACTGGTTGAAGTTTATGCACGCAAAACAAAAGTTTTAAATACATTTAAGTGATACATTTAGAATACAACTTTATTTATTTGGATTGAATATTTAATTTTAATTTTTACATGTTGAGACTTGAGATTCAAGTGATTTGTTTTCGTATGATTAATATCCTTATATAATTATATATTCATTCATTTATTTATAGGTATAGCATGAGTCGGGATGAAGATGATGAGTTTACGCTTCTTATTATGGTTGGGCTTACTATTCATGATAGAAATGATATTATTGCTTCGCATTATTACAAGCATATGTATAAGGAGCCTTGCATGACATCAGCTTTGAGTGGGGAGGCTTGGATGCAAGAGGTGTTAAATGGTCATCCTATTCGTTGTGTTAATGCATTTAGGATGTCTCCAGATTTATTCGCACGGCTATGTAAGGATTTGCAATCAAAATATGGTTTAACATCAAGTGACAAAATTACAGTTGAAGAAAAAGTAGGTATATTTTTATACACTCTAGCTTTGGGCCTTTCAAACCGGGATGTGGCTGAGAGGTTCCAAAGATCCGGAGATACCATAAGTCGAGCATTTCATGATGTCTTAGAATCCGTCACGGGTAGGAGTACGGAATATAAGGGACTTTCACGTGATATGATTGCACCAATAGATCGGGCCTTCCCGTATACCCCTTATCATATTTTTAAGGATAAAAGATATATGCCATATTTTAAGGATTGCGTTGGGTGTATTGATGGAACACACATAGCAGCATGTATCCCAGTAAAGGAATAATTGCGCTATAGAGGAAGAAAAGGCATCCCAACTTTTAATGTTATGTAGGTAGATATTACTTGCTGGATAAAGGATATCCAGATCGAAAAGGATATCTCGTTCCTTATCCCAAGCTACGATACCACTTGGAACAATTTGCAAATGAAGCACCAACAAATGCTCAAGAAGCTTTCAATCGTTCACACTCATCTCTTCGTAGTTGCATAGAGCGCTCTTTCGGTGTTTTGAAAAAAAGGTGGAAATTTTTATCAAGAATGCCTATGTTTACCGTTAAAACGCAATTAGATGTTATTATGGCAACATTTGCTTTGCAAAATTACATTCGCAAATTCTCTAGCGATAATTTAATGTTTGAGGTTCTAGAGCGCCATCCAAATTTCATACCACAAGATGATCTTGTTGATATTCAGAACTCAACTTCAAGTACTACCAATTCACAAATGGAAGGCTGCGGTGAGATGAAGGAACTTCGCAACAATATAGCATCCTTGATATGGGCGAACAGAAATTAAACATTTTTACTCTGATTAGTCAATTGTGATGATGTTCATGTTTACACATTTATCTATTACAACTATTTCTAATTAAAGTATTGAATTTATGGTTTTTCATTTCTTATCGCATATAAAAAATGTCATGGATTTATTTGAATTCAATGCACTGTGTTGTGTGTATGTATGTATGTAAGTAATATAATACTATGTACTACATCCGTCCCGAAAAGGTTTACCAATTTGACTTTTCTTGGTCAATGATGACAATAAAGAATATTCTGATATAATTTTCATATTCTAAATAATTTCGAATTAAAATATATTATTGGTCAAAGTTGATTGTCATTGACCAAGAAAAGTCAATTTGGCAAACCTTTTCGGGAAGGAGGGAGTATAATATAATACGGAGTATAATGTAACGTAACGTAACACATAACATAACATAACATAACATAACATAACATAACATAACATAACATAACATAACATAACATAACTCAACATAACATAACATAACAAAACAAAAGATAACATAACAAAACAAAAGATAACATAATATAACATAATGTAACATAATGTAACATAATGTAACATAATGTAACATAATGTAGTATAATGTAGTATAATATAGTATAATGTAGTATAATGTAGTATAATGTAGTATAATGTAGTATAATATAATATAATATAATATAATATAATATAATATAATATAATATAATATAATATAATATAATATAATATAATATAATATAATATAATATAATATAATATAATATAATATAACATAACATAATATAATATAATATAATATAATATAATATAACATAATATAATATAATATAATATAATATAATATAATATAATATAATATAATATAATATAATATAATATAATATAATATAATATAATATAATATAATATAATATAATATAATATAATATAATATAATATAATATAATATAATATAATATAATATAATATAATATAATATAATATAATATAATATAATATAATATAATATAATATAATATAAACAATATGCCCCTTAATGTAATTTTACATTATCCCTGCACTTTTTCAGCTCTTTTTGCTAAACGTGTCTACTTCATTCAGTTAGCAATTCAGATTAAGGACTTCAAGGTTGAGTTCCAGACAATAGTCTATGATTCAGAAAATAGCCTCTATTTCAGACATTAGCCTCCAGTTCCAACTCATTGTGCCAAACATAGCCTAAGTAAATTTTTATTACCACTGCTTTCAATTTTGGATTATCCCAAAATAAGTGTCAATATTATACTCATATCTCAAAAGTAACTTTTAGTTTTTCAAACACTTCATTATTAATATATATTGTGTCAATATATAAGCAGTATTGGTATCTTTTTTATTTTATCATTTTTATGTATATTCATCTCTTTTTATATTATCTTTTTATCATAGCTTATTTTTTTCTCTTTATTTTCTTTCTTTTCCTTTTGGTGGTAATATCATGTATCGATTTATGTTCGCCGACCCAATATCTTTTGGGACTAAGGCTTGATCGAATGTTATTATTGTTATTGTATTGTGTTAATTCAAAATAGAACACATAAAATGAGATAAATGTAGTACGGAGTATTATTTTGGGATGGATATATAATACTTAGGGTATGTTTGCAAAAAGTAAACAAAATGATTTTTAGCTTTTAGCTTAAAAAAGCTGAAAAAGAGAGTTTTCAATTGACAATTTATGCTTAAATTAAACATTTAAAAATTAAAAGCTAGCTAGAATCTACTTTTTACTTTTTATATTACATAAAAAAACACATATTTACAAAACATCACTCACTTTTATTTTTCAAAATCTTTTTTCTAAACACTACACTTTTATTACTAAAATCACGTTACAAGTGATTTTTTTAAAGGAGGAGCAATGACAAAAACTTGTAAATACGATACGGTAGAGGGCTATAAATTGACGTGTGAATCTTCACACTCATACATGACTTCAAGTTTGTTATTGATAAAAAGGTTAGCTTAGCTAGCTGTGATAATGAAAGCCGCTTTATATGTTATCGTATTAATCTTGGTTCACAGTTTGGCGATCGATGTTGGAGGAGGCGATGGCGGCAATCGATATGGCGCCGTGAAAGCTACGCCGGCAGAGGAGGAGGCGGTGGCAGCGGTGACGCTGGACCCATCATCGCACAGTGAGGAGGGATACGAGCAATCATCAAGAGCGATACCGGGCACATGGTACCAATCTCCGCAGCCCTTTCGAACCCGTCGCCAGGATGCTCCGGCGTATGCGGCACCACCACCTTTTTCCTACGTCATGGCTGCTTCAGAACTCGATCCACCACGGCCGCCTCGCCGCCTGCTACTTTAGTATAATTATTAATTGTCATATCAGTTTTTTAAATTTCAATTCTAGGAGTTTAATTTGCCGTATTTGATGATTCATAATATTGAAAATGTTATAAATATAGCTACAATGTTCAGGTAAAAATGATTGATAAGACTCATGAAACGAAAAATAGGATACCAACGAGCTCAATTTAATGATCAATAGTTCAAAATAGGAGTACATATGTGTTTTGTTTATCAATTCAAAACATAAACAATCGAAAAAGGGGAAATGGAAAATAATAATCGAACTTATACCCGGTCTTCATTAAACAGTCTCTGTTATCGCAAATCCATTAAAAACCCCAACTTTCCATGCCATCTTCAATAAACAGTCCCGACTCGAGAATGACCGGATGGAGTAAGTTTTTATATTTAGAATTATCGGTAACGGGGACCGTTAAATGAAGATCGGGTAAATGTTAGATTATTATTTTCCACTTTTCTTTAAAATTAAAATATGGCTGCGCTAACCGGTAACAAGTCTTCAAGATTGATTACCGAAGGTGACATGCAAAGTAGGGATTTTTAATGGATTTTCGATAATAGGGACCGTTAAATGAAGACCGTGAAAATGTTAGATTATTATTCTCCATTTTTGCTATGAAAAATAAGACTAAATATACTTTCTTGTGAAAAGTGGATCTGTTTTTGGAGCTTTAATTTCAAAATTTTCCTTTTCTTTAGCATGTCTAAACCAATAACATTGAAACTTCAATACCCTAAATTGAAAAAAAATGTCAGACATTTATATCTTCTTAGAAAATAAAATTATGTCAAATTATATTATAATCTACAAAACAAATAACAAAAAACATTACGTATTCTAATAGGAGTAAACTGTATTTTAAAATATTATGAGAGTGTTTTAAATGCTTACCAATTATTATTATTACTTGATAATTATGAACAATAACTACATTCTAATTTAGTGATATATATAATTATATGTTCGTTATTATTACTCCATCTGTCACATAAAATTCTTTTCACTTACCTTGTTATTATTCTTTTCACTCCATACGTCATCAAATCGAAAAAATTATCAAAAAAATTATATTCACGGATGGAGTGAGGGGATCTAGGTCCGTAAGGTCCCAATCCACCTCAATTTGAAAAGATGTACTCGTATTTGTGTAAAAAAATTATGTAAAAATATTTCCAAAAAGAATTTTTATACTGACTCAGCCTCACATAATGCTCTGATTACGCCTCTAATAATATAATAGGGAGTATTAGTCAAAAGACTGACCATTTACATAGTATACTACGAAGTAGTATTTAATAATGACAAGTTGACAACCCTAACTAGAAGACGACTACCCTTTTACTCCCTTCGTACCATTTTAGTTAGCCAAATTTGACTTTTCAAGTCAATGACGTCTAACTTTGACCGATTATATATTTATATTAAAAAAGTATCAATAATATGAAAATGTTCTTTGTTAAAAATACTATCATAAAAGTATAAAGTATTAAATTTTGCATAAATATATTGATTTAAATAATTGGTCAAAGTTTATAATTTTTTATTAAAAAGTCAAAATTGACTAAGTAAATTGGGACGTAGGTAGTATTATTTAGTTGCCCACAACATATATATATATATATATATATATATATATATATATATATATATCATTTTCTTAACTCCTCTGTGTGTCGTATACTTGTACACGGCATTGTTTTGGAACATAGTCAAAATGCCATGTATTTGGTGTTTTTTCTTGACTCTTTGGTAGATAAATTCAAAGTTATTGGGTCCCTTTCCGCTCTTGTGTGAGATGCGTTGCACCTAGAAATGGGGTAGGTGCGTAACCTGCAGGCGAGAAACCTAAACCTAATTTATAAATTAATAACATAATAGCAAATTTGTTCATTCCGTCATTAACAAATCAATAATTCGTCCAATTAGCAAATCATTATAAAAGCTAGATTATTTGAAAAATAATAATACTACATCCGTAACAGATATATCTTCTCATTTGAAAATTAGGTGTGATTAAGAATAGTGAGAGGAGATATAAATTATTGAGGGTATGATGAGAAGATAATGAAATAGTGTGCTGGAATGATGGATAAATCCAAAGAAAAGTAGTAGTAATAGTGCATTATTTTTAAAATATTGAAGGTATGATAAGAAGATTTAGAAATGTGAAGATATGAATGTTACAGCTAAAAAGGGAAAGTGGAAGATATGAGTGTTACGGAGAGAGTAACATAATAGCAAATTTGGGAGTTAGGGCTTATACTTCACCACTCGGTTAATAACTCTAATCTTCCGCCTGTTTTGGTACTTGTGTGGCAGATGATTTAAGCCAAACAAGCCCCTATTTTAATACTCCCTCCGTCCCAATTTGATTTGCAAACGTTCCTTTTTTAGTCGTCTCAAAATGGTTTTCCACTTTCTATTTTAGCTAACTAAATAAGAATAAAGTGACAAATTTACCCTTACTTTTACTTTTTTCCCATTAACTTAAAAACATCTACTTTTAGAAAGATGGGCAAAAGTGTAAAAAGTAAGCATCATTTATTTTCATTTCTTAATCATTGTGACGATCAAAGTTTGCAATTCAATTCGGGACGGAGGGAGTACATATATACAATATAAAAGTATTTAAATTGGTGACCCCCTAATTTTTTAACTTTTTTGGTACCATGAGGCCGAAGCCTCATTAGCCTAAAGGAAGGCACAGCCCTGAACCTAAGCCGTCCCTTTCTATGGGGTGTGCTACGTACTTTGGTGAGCGTGAAAAACGTGAGACGAGCTTTATGTTCTTTCTACCTAGCCTTCCTCTTCCTTTGTTGGTCGGTGAGAGTGTAAGAGCGAAGTTAGAGTGTACGATGCTAGGATCTTAGCTAGACTTTGAAATTGATCGCACAGTAATTATATTAATTAAACCTAAATACAAAAAAATACACTAGGAAAATGAAAAAAATTAGTTAGTCAGCACTTCAGCACGCCATATTGATCCTCCCCTCCAAACAACTGTCTTACAAATTTGAATCACACTTGGGTACACACTGTGTGTACACATTCTTACACACTCATGTCTGTGAAGACTGACAAATATGTTTTGTCTGGAGCAGACATAAAAAAAAGTCTTCACGGACATGAGCGTGTAAGAGTGTGTACCTATAGATTTTTTCTACAAATTTTGCTCTTTTATTAACAAATTTGTTGTGTACACAGTACACAACACCTAGGAGGACGTGTACAAAAAAAGCAAAAAAAGGATGACACTCTATCCCTGAGGACCCCTAACATCGACCGGACGGTAAGTTGGCATGATGTAAATTAGATTATAATCATAATCTGACAGATAGAGAATGAGGTTCTGTCCCCGATACTTGCAGATGCCATATGCATTTGTAGCATAGTAATCTCTCATCGCAGTTGCCGGGATTCGAATCTGGGACCTAACCCTTGTGGGAATCCCTTTCTACAAGTAGAGCTAAGTCCACCGGTTTCAAAATGGCATGTAAACGCATGATTTATTCAACCAAGATTTTCACGTACACGGTTTGAGCCAAAATCCTATCTCCCCAACAACTTGATTATATTCATAACAGGTGAATGACGGCATTCATACGAGCAATTAATGATCCAACAAAACAGCGGTTCAATATAATACTACTCCGTGGTACATATATCCCCGCCGAATTGGTTTACTAATTAGCGCTATTTTACTGGTGGACATAGCTTAACTGGTAGCAAGGGAGTGCCACAAGGGTTAGGTCCCGGATTCAAATCTCAGCAACTGTGATGATGAGTTACTATGCTAAAAATGCATAGGGCCTCTGCAAGTACCGGGGACAGAGTTCACTCTCTATCTGTCAGATTGGGATTATAGTCCAATTTACGTCCTTCCAACGTACCCTCCGATCGAGTTGGGGGCCCTCAGGGATGAGTGTCATCCTTTTTTTACTGATTAGCACTACTTTGACGACTTCTCCCTTCTTCTTATATATCGTACATTATTAGACAAAGAAGGTTGACTTTTCAAGCAGTGCAGTCCATCGCAATGACGCGTATATGTCATTTTCTGGACTAAATTTAATTGACGTGTGGATCTTCACCTACATGAATGATTAATAGCTACGTGCATATATTACTGACAAACAAGTTCATTAGTCTTAAGGAAATCTATGTAACTTAATTGGTTATCGTGACAATGAAAGCTGTTCTGTATGTTATCGTGTTAATCTTGATTCACGGTTTGCCAATCGATAATGGAAACAAGATCATGACGATGAGCTATGGCGCCGTCGTGAAAGCTACGCCGGCAGAGGAGGAGGCGGTGATGATGATGAACCCATCATCGCACAATGAGGAGTACGGACAATCATCAAGAGCGCTACCGGGGACATGGTTACACCAATCTCCGCAGCCCTACGAGTCCCATCGTCAAGGTGGTGCTGCGGCACCACCACCTTCTTCTTACGAGACGGCCTCTGCATCAAAACTCTATCAGCCACGCCGCCGCATGCTACTCTGCTAGTTCAATTCTCTGCATTTCAGTTTTTTTCATTGTTTTCGAGTTGAGAAAAGTCTCAAATACGCGGTCGTACTATATTCAAAAAGTCATTAAATGCATCTGCTTCAAAATCAATCAATTAACCCCATGAAGTTATATAAAATGTTCAATTCAGCCGTTTAGAAGGTTACCTCCCGGTTTCCCAGTCAAAAGTTTACGTGAATTTTTATGTGGCAATTTTTTAATTTTTTAATTTTTTTTGGGAAATATTAATTCAACTCACTTTTCTTTTCTAAATATGACACAAGTACAAATCTCCTATACCCTTCCCTTTCATCTGTTGAAGTACAAGATGCTGGCGACGAAGGCTAAAGGTGAATGGAGGATAATGGTGATGACGGCGAAAGTAGATCGAAGAGTCAACTCAGCTCTTCAGTGAACAGGATAACCGATTGGCCGCCAAACCGCCATGGCCTTTGACCTTCGAGATCAACGACAGTCAACATAACACTACAAGAAGAGGGGGTTTTAATGACCACCATATAACGACAACTTCAAAAAATTGTTGTTAAAATATTCTTTTAACATTGATCAATGAGTTCATCGTTAATAAATTTTATCTTTAACAACCATAATGAAAAGTTGTCATTATTAAGTAACAACGAGCTATCATTATTATTTAAATTTTTTTGAAATGTAGTTTTTTTTAAATTCAATCGGAGAAGAAAATCAATAAATTCGATAAGGTTAATTATAAATTTTCAGCATGTCGCCAATTTGAAATTTTCATAATGCCGCCAATTTGAAATTTTCGGCATGCGCCAATCTGTTTTAACGCTAACTAGTTACTCCACCCGTGCGTTGCACGGGAGTACATACATAATAGTTTAGTTGAAATAAAATGTTATTGTAAATAGCAACCTAAAAATTAAATTATATACAAATCAAAATTAAAACATCATGCAATGAAGTAAATGTGAATGTAAATCCATGAAATTGTCAATTAAGGAAACTACACATCATTATAAGCTTCCTTGTAGCCAACATTTAAGGTAGATGCGGTTGGTCATCCAATACATATTCATCACATATCACAAACGTCAATCCAGATTAACTTGTTCTTCTCGAGACTTCCACATATACATGTCTATGTATAAGAACCGGGCAGCGGAGAAAGATGCCAACTTATTTGAACAATTTTGTATAAGAGTACTCTTATTAATAATCATTGCATATATCTAACCACTAATAAGAACTACATGTGCTGAAAAGTAAATGAGAGTCTAAGTAGGAATAACAATGTTCTTAACTGAACTATAATTTTGTAGTCTGATCTAGTTTAATCAAATCTGTTTAAGTTTGGGAGATAATTTTTAATTATATTCTGGTTTGGATTTTTAAGTTTTACATAAATTTTAATATAGTTTTCGAATATGCAAACTTATTAAAATTAAATTAGTTATCAATATAGAGAATTTAACTTTAATATTTGTTGACAAAAAAGGTTGATTTTGCAAATCAATTTGAGATGGAAAGAGTAGTTAGTAATTTTACTGTTTCTTTTAGGGTTGTATAATCAACAATCCTAACAGAAGTGTACACTTTTTTCTTTTGTATGAACTTCAATATACATTCAACATGACATATGCATTGTGACAAAATGTTAATAATTGTCTCATAGGACTGATAAAATGACCAAGCTATTAAAGTATTCACCTTTTGACTATACATAACAAACATGTAAGAGGCAGATTTATAAAATTTATTAAACTAATACATAGTATCAACATATAATAAAAATAATAATTTCAAGGAGATCTGTTTTTATTGGAATAACAATAGTTTGAAAAGAAATAAAACTAAAAATCACCCGGGACTTTAATCATTATTATAAACTTAACCTGCAATAACATCCAAATAAAGATAATCTGGATATTTTATTTTCAAATGTTCATTTTTTTCAAATGAACTTTCCCGTTAGAGAATCATTATTATCTAACTGGACGGGCGGCCAGCCCGGTACGCGTATAGAATTGATAGAATTAGCTCCTACCCTCTCTGCTCTCCATGTAATTAACCAGAGTCAAAGTTAATGCAGTAATCTAAAAACCAATTAATGTTCCAGGGATTGAGTCTCTCTCATTCTCACAGTTACTTGGTTTCAGCAACTCATCATAGTCATCAAGTATCCGTGGCAATGGCACCAGCCGCGGGAACAATAGCTTCTGGTAAGGGACAGATTTGAAGGGGGATAAGTGTAATGACTTGTTGAGTTGGAGGGGTGGATGAATGTTGCTGCCACTGCCAATGCTTATCATCTTCTTTTCCTTTGGCAGATCTGGAACTCCCACCATCCCAAGGGCTTTCCTCACTTCATTTGCAAGTTCCACTATGTACTTATCCCCATGCCCGATATCATGCAAGGCTTTCTCCATTTTGAAAATATACTCCCTGTTGTTCCTGCAAGGACCAAAAGCATTAGCTAGTTTATAAATTGAGGTTAAACAATTGCATAACTAATTATAGAGGCAATATCAACAAATTGAAACTTCCTAGGTAGAAAAAATATGGATTTCAGAACTGAACATATTAGGTCCAGAGTGAAATGGTTTTCAATTGGAAACGAATAAAAACTTTGAAAAATTTGTACAACACTAAGAATATCACATTACAGAACAAATTTACCATCTAAGCTAAATAGGTTTAGTTGATTGATCCAAATACAATTTAGACTTATTCAGCTCTATTACAGAATCACAGTAGAAGATAGAAAAAACTGAAACCAAATTAGTAAAGTGGAATAACCCAATATAAGTAATTCAGTGCAAATAGAATTTCTAATGCAGGATTGTGGTTTAAACTGAATGATAATCAGATTCCAAGCTTTGAAACAAATAAAAAGCCATTGACATATGCATATAGGTGTCAACAATGGTTCACATGGAAATCACACAAAGAGCATCTAAAAAACTAATAAAGAAATAAAAGTCATCTTATTAAGTAAGAGTGTAAGACTAAGCAAATCATATAGTCACCTTAGGTATAGAATTTGGAAGAAAACATTGCAGAAGGTGCAACTTCTTTGCGGGTTTGCTTGGATCGTTTACTGCGAGCTTCTGATATCTCTACCAGAGAAGAAGCAAATGTATACTGACTATGGGTATCATGATAATCCTTCCCCTCGTTTATGATACCTTTACTTTATTAGCATTCCTCCCTCTCATTCCAAACACACTGTCACAAATTACCGCCATCTACAGTGAGTAGTCTTTGAATAGTCAGATGCGAATTGAAAGAGAGATGACACATATATCAGATCAATGAAGTGCCTAAATCCTGCAATTCGTATTAATTGCAATGTGTGCTACTTGTTATGTTAAAAACTCTAAAGCAATTCAGATAACATAAGCCAAAAACAATTACAAACTAACAAAGTAATTTTTAAAAAAAAATAACAAAAAACTGAGTCTAAAAGAAATCGAATTACCTTTGGTATGCCATTTCCTAAGCATGGGAAATAAAGATGTCTAACCATCCAATTATGAACAGGCTGCAATAATAAATAAACTGTAATACAGAACAATCAATACTCCGTATATAACAAAGACACACTCCTATCCAATAGGGAGTCAAGTTTTGATATCGATCAATTCACTATTTTGTGGGGTTGTTAGTGCAAGTAACCAGGCAAAGTATTCAAAATTTAAGTATTTGATAAACCAGTAGATAGAAACAAAGAAAATAGCCTAAGCATTTTATCAAACATATTACATGCAAATTATAAGACACACAAGGGGAAGTGTACATAGAGATGCTTAAAAACCCTTCACAACAAAATAGTTTGGATATGGCAAAACTGAAACCAACAAAGTACCTCCAATTGAATGAACGTAGAAAATGAAATATCAATGCATCAAAAGGGAATCCGAAATTGAAAAGGAGAAGAAGAAAGATTATTAAGAGGAATAACTATTTGAATAAACTATAGAGAGGAACTCAATCTGACTTCAGAATCTGCTAACTCATACATTACAAAACAAAAATTCAATTATATAAAAAAGATTAATAAGAGGAATCACTACCGAAAATGAAGTGTTTCAGCTCCTCTATGAATATGGATAACTGCCGGCGATTTTTTTTCCGGTCATGAGGGTGCTTTGAGTCTTGAGGTGGAGGCTGATTTGCGAAGGAACGGAAAGGGTAATGATGGCCTGGAGTCTGGTGGGTGCTTCAAAACTGAGGTGGAGAATTGACGATGAGAAGGTGGAGAGTGCGGAGCTTTGCGTGAGTGAAGATGGCCAGAAGGGAAGAAGCGCAATGATAAAATCAAATCTGACGGTGATATTTCAATTGAATGAATGATGTAGATCAATTTGTATTACTATTAAGTATAGATAGATGATTATTATCGTTCCCTGAACTGATTTAATTAAATCACTTAGATAAGGAAATAAACCCTAAGCAGCTACCCCCGATTCCCGTCTTCCAAAATCTTTCCGCTTCATCAATCACCAGGATTGAATTTACTCTTGCTCTATCACATTCTTTTGGCTCAATGATTCATCTCGCTCTAGACGACTTCTGTTTTTCCGCCAGACCACAGTGTTGACCTCCGATCGATCTACGAACACGAGTACACGGTTAGGGGCCTGCCCTTTCAATCAATCTTCGACTGCTCAGTGCTTTCCTCTCGGTTAGGTGCGAAATGTAAGGAGTCTTGGTCTCGAGTTCGATTTATATGCTTTCCTCTCGCTCCATTTCTGAGAGTTTCCTCTTGCTCGATCTTCCCGTCGTTGTTATCAACTAGGAGAATTTTTCTTAATATTCTCGTTCGATTGCTTGTTCTTTTTGCCCCACGTAACTTTAATTTTCAACATTTATAACATTTTCAGCAATCTATAGAGTTATTGTATAGATTTATTGAATCACTACTTGCTTTGGTTGATTTTCTTGTCAGGTTTTCTTAGGTGAATCACTGAGAGTTTTTAATCTTTATATTCGATGATTTCTGTAACGGTTGAATCACTAAACTTACTCCAAGTAAAGTATAATGAGTATCACAATACATTAAAAAGTGAAAATCAACCGACTGCTAAAATGATTTTTATATCTAAAATATGATCAATTAAGTATTATTTTAGCTGATTTAAAATTTTCATATCTGAAGTTTAAATATCATCTTCTAAACGGTATTGAGACTGCTGAGGCCAACATATCTAACTTTGTTAATTATTAAGTATGGTCTCTACTTTTTGGTGTGCGGTTGGAATTATGAATTTATTAATTATTTTTGCAAACATAATTGAAAAGAAAGCATTGTTATTAGGACGGTGCAGTCTCTGGATTTAACTTGGTTCTGGCAATCCCAAGGAAGTCTTCTTTCAACCAATTCATTACATGATGATTAAGCTATTTAATTATGAATTCACTTAACTGTGTCTTTCTCATCATTGAACGACTCTTTTGGTTTTGGATGGGTCTCAAAATAATGAAAATATAGCTCTCTACCTGCAACTTATTTTTAGTATTTTTATAAGAATTTTGTTTCACCTGTTTAGTTTATTTGATGTGGATTTGAGTGAAAATTGTGAATTACAGATTCAATTTCTTTTTGTAGCTATTTTGATTCTTTTTCAGATCCGAGTTTGTTCTCTATTGTCATGGTAATGTTTCTTATCTTGCTTATTATTTATTGCTAAGAGTCTATTTTTGTTTTTTACTATGTTGTTGTGTTCTTAGATTTGTTGTACTCTGTCAATATATAATGGTGATAGAATGATATACTCGGTAACTCGGAGCTTTCAAGCCCGCGTGCCACCTCCCAGTCACGTTTTCAGATGTGAAGTCATGTAAATAGGTACCGAATTATCATCTAGCTGTTTTTGAATCTAATAAAATTCTAATTACTACTTGTATCTCTCCATACTTTGCTAATGCAAAAAGTCCCTCATCAGTGCGTTTCACTTCATGATGCTAACTCATAGGGTTGGAATCGTGCCGATCTTGGAAACTGGGACTGTATTTGGGTAAACTAGTTTCAGTTCCCGGTTGGTTTTGGCATTTTAGCGTATTTTATAAACATTAAATCAGAAACTAGAATTGGTTGACTTCGATTAGGGGTGGATCCAGTTCTTGAACTGGACTGATCCAGAACCAGATACATATTTTATCTGGACTGGAACTGTTTAAAGAAGATCAGACTTTCACTGTTGTTATGGGAAGTAATGATCTGGTCGATAGGCTGTATAAGAGCGTATTGCATAGGTCTCTAAGGTTGCAGTTACATGCTTTTAGTTTTACGAATGCTTTCCTATTTGTGTTAGTATTGGTATTCATTTTAAACGGAGTAAAAATTATACCTTAGCTAATTATTCATTCTCATGTTGATCTGGAACATTCAATTTGCAGCAGGACATGCATCCATTTCAAAAACTGCAGTGCAGGATTTCAAAAATTGTGTGAGACACTCAGTGTACTTGAGGTACTTTTGGGATTAAGGCTTGGATATTGTTTTTGTTGTGTCAAATATGATTAATATAATCTTAAAAATGTAGCACTATGGATTTAGCTAACTTATAGATATGTGTGCTGATTTTTTATGCATGTCTATATTGATTTGAGCTTATCTTTTTGGAACATTGTACACATAATGATACCATCAAGTAACACCAGAGGATTTATTCATCATATTAAGATGTGTGTATTTTAAACAGATGGCCAATACATTTTTTATATAGTTGTTACCTACATAAATATAAATGTGAGGCGACTACATATTGAGAGATGTTCACCAAGTATTATTAAATTGTGCATATTTTATTTATTGAGTTATAAAATCTCTGTTGTTGTTTTAATAGGTTACGACAAGGTATTTGAAGATGAGAAGTTGTCACCGATCAATTTCAACAAGTTTTGTTTGAGGCTCTGTTGTACATTTATCTTTTATTTTGTACTTTCTATTCTCAAGGTGGGGAATAGACAGGGCTCAGGAGGTCGGAAATTTGTGATATTAGCGGTTGATTATTTTACCAAATGGGTTGAGGCTGAGCCAATGGCCACAATCACCGCAGAACAATGCAAAAAGTTTGTCTGGAGGAATATCTTCTGCCGGTTTGGTGTTCCCATGCAGATTATCACCGATAACGGAAAGCAATTTGATTCTGAGCCCTTCAAAGAATTTTGCGAGCAATGGGGAGTCGAGGCCAGCCGAGTGTCTGTCGCCTACCCCCAATGCAACGGGCAAGTAGAGAATGTGAATAGAACGATTGTTAACGGCCTGAAGAAGAAGCTAGAATCCATGGGAACAACTTGGGTAAAGGAACTAAACAATATCCTTTGGGCATACTGAACAACCCCAAGAAAAGCGACCGGGGAGACTCCGTTTGCACTGACTTATGGGTTCGAAGCCCGGGCTCCTTCAGAAGCCTTGGTCCCGAGCAGGAGGGTGGAAGACTATGATCCTAATAACAACGAGGAAATGTTGAGGGTCGAGCTCCACCTAATTAAAGAAAAGAGGGATAGAGCCTTTATCAAAGCCGAAAACTATAGAAGGCAAGTGAAGGAGTACCATGATGCAAGGGCCAAAGCGAGACAATTTATCATTGGCGACTTGGTTTTGAGAAGAAGGCTGGCCAGAAAACCTCTAGAAGGCGGCAAGTTTGCCAAAAACTGGGAAGGGCCTTACAAAATTAAAGGATTAATTGGGCCCGGGACCTACAAGCTGTGCACTCCTAAAGGGAAACCGGTGGACAGGGCTTGGAACTCTGAACACTTAATGAAGTTCTACCAATAGCCATGTAATTTTCTATTTCTCGCTCCAATTTTCAATAAAGTTATGGTTTGATTTACTAAGTCCATTATAAATTCCGAAGGTCTTATGACCAACCAAGCCAAAAAAAAGGAAAGGGCTCAACTATGCCTAATTGGTACTCGCAAACAAGACAAAGTACTAATTCCGAACTCATCAAATTCCAGAAGCTCAAATCAGTATTTCTAAAGACGAGAGCGGGAATAAGACAACCTTCCTCAAGGTTAGACAGCCCTATATATGCACAAAATCAGATTTCCTCAAACAGGAAAGGACAGCCTCTCGCAAGGCTAAGATTTTAAGGGGCTAAAAGATTAAAACTTATGGAATTAACTTTGCACCGGAGAAGCCAACGTGCTTCGCCAATCAAGAGGCTAATCACTAGGGTCTGCGTAACCTAGTGTAAGGCCCACCTAACGTGGCTCAACTATTAAGACCCTATAGGTCCAGGATTGGTAAAGTCTTCCTTAATCAAGGAGAGACGACCTTGACCGGAAATTCAAGGCTAGATACATAAAGGACTAGGTAAATTAATATAACTAAGCAAGGGAGCCCAAGGACTACCCTGGAGCATGCAGATCATACAGGTCCGGAACAGGGGCCAACCACCAAAAAGACAGCAAGTCGAAAGCCAGAAGTCTCAAACACCATACAAGGATGCACAGAGCAGTCAATAGAGATGATAAAAAGGAGTCATTTTGGTATATACGCAGCGTGCAGAAAAGTTAAAGCAGAGTAAAAGATGTCTGTTACACGACACCCCAAGGGTGGAAAACCACTGCAGGCACGCAGGCCTGGAAAGATGTTTGTTAAAAATGTCATTAAAGAGGAGTTTCATCGGTTACCAAGGTGAGCAGGAGGGGCTTCAGAGGCGGGAGTATCAGCAGCCGAGGTCTCCGCGGGAGCTTCCGGATCCGCCATCAATGCCGGCAAACCCCAGGCTTGGGCAGAGAAAGAAGGGTCCCTCTTTGCAAGAAGGTCGTATAGGGACTTTTGCATCCCATACTGCCCTAACTGGAAGCATAGTGCCCCCTCCTCATCCAGCTTGGCCTCGCCCTCGGGGGTATGGAGCCAATCCAGGGCAATCTCCTCCCTCCGATCCAAGATCTTCTGCTCCACCTCGGCCTTGAGCTCCTCGCTCTCCTTGAAGGCCTGCACAGCGGTCGGGCCGGCCTCCTCAGCTTTCCTCTCTAGCTCCTCCTCCACCACACGGTGTGCAGCCTTAACATCGCTCAGCCTCTTCTGAAGTGTCTCGCCCTTCTGCGCAGCCAGTCCCAGCCTCTTCTCCAGATATGCAATTTGCTCCTTGAGGCCTGCTATCAGGGACTGGGCGTCATCCTGCCCCTCATCCAGGCTGCGGGATCCTGAGGAAGCCAAGACGAAGGCATGGAGATTACAAAACCAAGATTATGAGCAAGGGCAAGTCAGAGGAAGACAAAACAACAGTAAAAGATTGTAAGGCAAACCTCAGAGAGAGAGTCGACGGCGCGCCGGATGGATGTCCGGGGAGACAAACCCCGAATCTCCTCCTTATCAAGGGGAGGAGTCACGGCCAGGCCAAGTGCTACCGGGTTCACAGTGCGGCAGAACAGAGAGGCAGAACCAGATTTCATGGAAAAGCGGACATAATGAAGACGTGACGGGGTTTCCCCCTGATTGCCACCTCCTTGGGACTCGACATCGACAACATCTTCGGAAGATTTGAGGGCAGCTTTTCCTTTCTTCCTGGGCCCGGAGATAGGCCGGAGTGCCAGCCTCTTCCCAACCCCCTTATCAATAGGGGACTGAGGGTCAACAGCCGACGTGATAGGAGCCCAGCACTATCTCCGGGGGCGGACCCCCGTGACTTCTCTGAGGTTACCCTAATGCTTCCTCGGGTCTGCATTTTCCTGCCAGGGACTAGAGAACCGGGGGTGGAACCAGCCTTCGTCGCAAGCCGTTCCAACCGGGAGGCCATCTTTTCACCCTTTGAAAATCAAACACAGGTCAAGTCAGCAAAGGTGATACTCAAAAAAAAAAAAAATATGAACGCCAACTCAGACAGAGCCGACCTGGCAGAAAGGTAAGAATAACCACTCTGTCCTCACCTACGTAATGGCCCATCAAGAATGGTGCACCATCAGCGATCAGCTTAGCGGCATCCTTATTGCCCTATGACAGAAAAGGCATGACCCATTTCCGAATTACCTCCCCCCACTTGTTCTCAAACTGCAACCTTCCATCCACGGGGGTGACCCATACCCATTTCTGCCTCCAACCCTTGAAAGAGTCGGGATAAGACTTGGCCTCGAATAAACGATGACCAGCCCGTGGTGAGATTGAGAGGTATCCTGGGGACTCGGAACCGCCAGGTCGTACAGAACGGAAGAAGTGAAGGAAGATTTCAATAAAAGGGCGAATACCTAGGTGCAGGGATCGAGCAAGGAACCCGACTATGAACATGTGGGTGGTTGGGGAAAATTGGCCAGGATCACGCCATAGTAACCCATGACGCTCAGGACAGCAGAATGAAGGGGGAATCAGAGACCTACTTGGAGACTAGCTATATGAACTCCAAAGTGAAGAGGGGAAGGAGAATCAACAATATTCTGCCCAGGGGTGGGGCGGGAGCAGACAACGCTTGGGCCCGCTAAGATCACTGCTTCGCCAAATTCGGCATCGGACAGAGCCACAGCCGGAACCTGTCGGGCATGCTCGCAAGAGAGGAAGAAGTGAGTCTCCCTCCCATCCGGATCTACCGGAATACGGGGCCGTTCAGAGGAGGCCCCTGCCTCAGGAAAGACGTGGTGTAGTGGGACGGAACTTGAAGAAGACATCAGGGGAACTTACCTGATGAAGCTTGAAGATGAGGAAAAGAATCGCGCGGATTAGAGCTCCTAACCGAGAAATCGAATTCCAAAGCAGAAGGAAAGTTGCGTAAGAACGCAATGAAAGACGATGAGCATTTAAATAGCCGAAAATTAGGGCTTGGGAACCACAATGATGACACTTGGGTATTGAAGATGGTAAGTCGGCTCGGGAACTGAACCGAATGGCAGGCCTATGTGATTTTAGAGAGTAGGGGGGCTCGTGATGGTACCATGGAACCCGACCATGGCCCAATTGTGTGAGTCCGACCCATGAACAAGATTAACCTTTAACGGGATTAATGATAGATAACCATTGGGCCTAACTAGGAACCAAGCCCGCGAGAAGAACCCACCGCCAGGCCAAGCTGGAAAGCATGCCTCGAGCCTGGGCGGAGTTCTAGTGAGGTTGGGATATTCCTAGGGCTGACGTGGCACGCTATCAGTGCAAACGGAAGCTGGCAGAAGTTAAACTGCTGGAACGTGGGATAAAGGAACAATCATTGCACAACGGCCGAGACGTTACAAAAGTCCTATTCAAGCTAATGCATCATTAATAGCATTTATTGTACTAGTTTCCTTTTGTAACACTAGTTCCTTAGCCTATAAATACAACTTGTAAAGCTCCAAAAGAGGGAGAGACCTGGATCAATACAACACTGCCTAACGCTGCCAAATTATCATCTGCTTCCGCAGATTTAGCTCTTGTTGTTGGATTAAACTCCATCAGAGATCAAATCCCATTTCAATTGAGGCTCCAGAGATATGAACGAATTCTTGATACTCTTAAATATATTTCATCCCATCCACACTTATAAATAGGGGTTAGAGTTGAGAAAAGGGGAGAAACTACAAGACTAGGAAAACGGTGCCAAGAAGTAGTGCTGCAAAGACCACTATTTGGATGGATCAACAAATATACTTTTCGGAAATATGTTTCATTTCACTTTTGTTCTATCTATGTCCCACCGGTTTAATGATTATTACCCTTGATTATTAATTAATAAGTACTACATGTCTACATTTATTAGAACAATTTCATTTCATTTCACTTCCTTTGTTATAGAACAATTTCTGCATTTATTCAGCATAAAAGGTATTTGCTAATGCGGTAATTTTAAGAGGTAATTTGAGTTTGCACTCCATTTTATTGTCCAAATTAGACTTTGCACCTTGTTTTTAAAAATCTTTTTTTTTTGCACTCCAACCCAATATGAAAAGACAAAAATGCTCTCGATCAGGAATATGTTGAAGCCAACAAAATTGTTAATGGAGAGGCAATTTTGTCTTTTCATTTAGGGTTGAAGTGCAAAAACAAAGTTTTTTAAAAACGAGATGCAATGTCCAATTTGCATAACGGGGTGCAAACTCAAATTGCCCCTAAGTTTAATTTTTAACAATTTTGCTATAGGTACCCCAAACTTACCCCAATTCATACCCCATATAAAAGCCCTCCAAGTAATTGACCCCCCACCTCCCTCATGTGCGTCCCTCACCTTTCCCACTCACCTCCAACCTTTCCAAATCTCCCGCTCCCACCTTTCCCCTTCCCCACAACTTTCGAAAAACAACCCTCGGCGGTGAACCCCCACCGCCTTGCAAACCTCCGTTTCCAAATGTTTGTGTCGTCGCGTTGCACACCAGCCCAAATTCAAGAGCTTCACCGAATTTCAACCCGCCCCGACCCATCCGTGAATTGAAGCAGTGTTTCGTGAGCACCCCCTCGTTGCAGACCTCCGTCCCTGTTTGTCCAAGTTCGTCCGAGCACTGTTCCGGTTCGTCCAAGTTCGTCCGAGCAAATTGCAGACCTCCGTCCATGTTCGCCCATAACCCATTCTGAAGATTTTTGACTCCATGGTCCGCACAAGCTTATCACAAATGGCTGAAAGGTATGGAATTTGTTCTATTTTGTTGAATTTATTTTATGTTGGTGTGAATGGAGTTGTAATTTTAGTGTTGTTTGTCATTATGTTTGTGAATACTTTGAAGTTATTGTGTGTGATAGAACTCTTGAAAGTAGGTTTGTAGTTGTCTATGATGCCAATGGAGTTGTCTGGCAAGACATATGACAGATCTGGCTGGTCAATTTGAATTTTAAAAATTAGGTTTTTAGTTGTCTGTGAAGTATTTGAAATTGTCTGGCAAGCCATAACTCAAAGAAATTGGTTGAAATTATACAGGGCTTTTGAACTACAAGTTCCCATGTCGAAGCAGTTTCCTGCCCAGTATTCTGTGTGCTCATTTTTCAAAGAGGCCGGAAGCTTGGTGCAGTCTGCCTTGACCAAGAAGCAACTTGAGGAGTTTAAGAAGCTGCCATGGGGCCACCTCATATCTGTGCCAGAAATGCAATTTTCGGGACAAATTATCCATTCTCTTCTGCTCAGGCTTGTACGGGACCAACCCGATGACGAGTTATGGTTTTGTATTCAAGGGAAGCTGTTGAAGTTTACCTACGCAGATTTCTGCCGCATCTCTGGGATTAAAGCATCGAGGGAAAAGCCTGTATTCAGTACTGGTGAAGAGGTTCGGGGGAAGGTGTTTGAGAAGTACTTTGCTGGATCAACGGACATAACCTTCAAGACGCTGAAGGAAAAGCTGAAGGCATTCAAGCCTAAAAGAGGAGATTCCACTGACCCTCTGAAGCTAGTGTCCTTGTGTTACCTTGTGAGTGTTCTGCTTGCAAGAGATAACAAAACAAAAATAAATTTAGACTATGTCAAATGGGCGGATGAGTTTGAGAAGTTTACGATGTATAACTGGGGTTTAGAGTCCTACAACATAATGGTTGAAAACCTGAAAACTGTCATGAAAGGTCAGCCCGGGAGGTTCAAGAAAAGCAATGTCAAAAATGCCAAGTTCACTCTATACGGATGTCCTCATATTCTACAGGTAATGTAAACAGACAGACATTTATATGTACATACAGACATTTATATGTACATATTTTGGGCAGACAAACATTTTAATTTTTCTACATATAGGTTTGGGCGTATGAGACCGTTCCTAACCTTGGAGAGAAATTTGCTGAACGAGTTGGTAATGAAGACATCCCTATGCTGAACTGGAAGGCTGATGGATTCTTTCATGCACGGAAGCTGAATGAATTGGTTTTCAAGGACAATGATGATGTATTATATCTTATTTTCTTAAACTTAAGCAATTTGTCATAACATCGTATTATATAATTCGACTGTTTCATGTGTAGGAGGAAGAAGCAGAGGAAGATGTTGATGAGGATGATGAAGAAGAAACAGAGAACGAGGATGAAGAAGTAGGGAGGAAGGGGTTCAAGGCCAAAGTCATGAAGGAGATTAAAGCTCTGCGGAAGAATGTGGCAGATTTGGAAATGAGGTTGAAGTTGATGGAAGAGAGGGTGAGTGCACCGTGTGGTGTGTCAAACAATGCGGCTGAGGTAAGGAAGATTTGATTTGTTATTCATTGTTTCTTTCGGACTGGTAGTGTTAATATTATTGTTTGGCAGGTTGGTGGCAATGAGGTTGATGCTAATGCCATGCAAATGGATGATCATGACGACCCAACACACACTGAAGAATGTGGCCCAACGGCCGTTGTAGATGATGCAAACAATGTGAAGGAGTCTGATCTCACTACACCTTCGGTTGAGATCATCTCAACCATCCTCAATGAAGTAAGTCAATATGTCTTTCTAGTTCAATCTAATTGTCTGTCTCCAGACATTTTAACACATTTTTGGATGTGGCTGATTTTATGTAGCTGGCTGATGTTGTGGATAATTCAAAGGATGAGAGGGAGTGTGATCCTACTACAGCTTCCAATCCGATCATCTCACCGGCTCTTCTTGATGTAAGTTAAAATGTCGGTCTCATTGTATTGAATTGTCTGTCTACAAACATCTTCACAATCTCAATCATTTGACTGTTTTATAAGGTGGCTGCTGCTGAGCTCACTAATCCTGCCCCTTGTCTGGGAATAAATAATAGATTTCCTTGCTAATGTGTACCACCTTTCCAAATGAGATTTCCAACCGATTTCAAACTCAGCAGGGAATTGGGAGTCATATACTACATCATGTATACCATCCATAATTTTATCTTTATGGGTAAACCCTCCCAACTTCTCCGGTAGCTTCTTCATGATGTGCCATAAACACCATCGGTGTCGCGTATTCGGAAATACTATTTCGATGGCGTTTTGCATAGCTCGATCTTGGTCGGTAATAATTCCCTTCGGGGCACACCCGTCCATACACTGAAGCCAAGCTTTAAAAATCCACACAAACGTATGAGTATCTTCACTCGAGATTAGGCCACAACCAAGCAATATTGATTGACCATGGTGATTGACGCCTACAAATGGCGCAAACGGCATGTCATATCGATTGGTAAGATATGTTGTGTCAAATGTAATGACATCCCCAAAATCTTGGTAAGCATATCGACATCGATTATCCGCCCAAAAAACATTCCGTAAGCGTGACTCTTCATCCAAATCAAGCATAAAGAAGAACCCGGGGCATTGAGCTTGCATTCTACAAAAAAAAATCTTGTAATGCCACCGCATCACCACTTCCCAACCTAAATTTACGCACTTTATCTATATAGTTCCTACAATCCTTTTCAATGAAGGAAAGTTGATCATATCCGCCGGCTTCAACAACCACGGAGTTGAAACTCTTATGAAGTGGTATACCGGCGACATCATTGATTGCAATTTGCCTCATAGCTTTCCGTGTCAACCTCCTATTACACCGAAATAGTCTAGACTTCGTAGGACTCATAGGATGGTTATGATCTAAACAAGCCGTTGAAATCACCCAACCCCCGGCATAATTTATACGTGCTCTTATTTTGGCCAAGCAACCAACTTGCATCGAAGGTAGAGGCTTCAAAACATTTTGTGCACGGCTTTGCCTTTTTCCAGCGCGCCCACACTCTAATGCAATTGCAGATGTCGTTCCATCCCCATCTTTCCTAGAATTCCTTATTCTAACAGGAAACCCTACTCTTCTCCCGTACTCCTTGTAGAAATCATACACTGCATCTTTACTGGGGAACTCCATACCAACAACGGGGACTTCAATAAAAATCTGTTCTTCCTCTTCATCTGTTATTTCAGAAAAATATACATGTTCACTACATTTATCATTTTGTCTCTACAAACAAACAATAATTGTAATAAATACATACATATAGTCTGCCCGCCAAACCATGTTTAAATAAAACACCTTTATATAACACTCTAACAACTATAAAACCACGTTCACTTCAAACAACTATGAGACCGCGTTTACGTTAGGCTTGCCAGACACTGCACTGACAAATTGTCTGTCCGCCAGACAAAATACAAAAATGACGGAAAACAAACTTACTCTTGTCCAAGACTTCCACATCTTCATCATCTTCTTCCCTTGAAGTCGCGTCTACTTCAACAGCCTTCGGAGATGGTGGATTACCACCGTCACTCACCTCAACAAGCTTCTCACCTTCATCTCCCCATGTCAACCCATCCAAACAAAACTCATCACTAAAGTCGGATAAATGCTTCCCCATCACATCCATCCAAGAAGATGATGTAAAGACGCAGGTAAGACCCTCTGTCGAGCACTGTAGCAGTTCGAAGGTTGGGGTGTGTTTTGGCGGAAACAATAAGAGTGGGTGGAGGGTTTGGGAGATGTGAGAGAAAGTTATTTTTAGAAAGGGGTAAAAGGGATGGTAAAAATAGGGGTATTTATATGGGGTAGGAATTGGGGTAAAAGAGAAATTTGAATTGCTTTAATATCTTCAGCATTCCTATTTACTTGTTTGATAATTATATGACTGTACTTTTTGTCTATTCATTTGTAGGCTCCTCACGGCTCACACAGTCACACAACAGTTTTTTTCAAACTTGCCCTTCATTTCTTAATTATGCAACTAAAATAATAAATGTAAAAGGTGTAAGCAATTAAACACTAAGGATGTTTTTACTCTGATTGTAATTTGTTGGTCTGGTCTGATCTGGTCTGATCTGGTCTGGTCTGGTCTGAAATGGTCTGGTCTGGTCTGGTCTGGTTTCTTTGTATTTTTATAACTATCCAAGTCTGGTCTGAACTGGTCTTATCTGGTCTGGTCTGGTCTGGTCTGGTCTAGTCTGGGACGAATTACAGTCCAAGTAAAAACATCCTAAAGCCCCCTCCCCCGTAACGCTTTGTTTGAGGAAAAATTGGTCATTAAAATATTCAAGGAAAAATCCTCACGATCTTACTAACTTGAGAACTTGAAATGCTAGAATTAAGTATATAAACAATCAGTACTAGTTGATTAATTAATACTCACGTATATTAATTGTGAAAATGACGATTTTTTTAAGGAAGTAATAACAAAATGCGAGATAACAAATATATACTCCATACCATGTAAACACACATGTCTGTCTTTATGTGCTAAAGTAAATTCCTTAAATATAAACAAAACATTGATATAATGCAAAAATAAGATTACAATTGTTTTCTTTTTAAAATTAAAATAAGACTAATGAACTCCTAATTAATGATTGATGCATGAAGTTTTATTATTTTTATAGGATCGAGTTTTTAGTTCTATTTAGATCAATTAATATAGAGAGTACAAAATAAATAATTTTAGTGCATGTTTTCTTTTTAGTTATTTTTATTCTAGCATTTCGATCAGATTGAGAAGGATCAATATTCACAATGATAAAAACGTGCCAGGGAGCACTACGATAGGTGTATTAGCAAACCCCGGGGTATTCTCACAACGCATTTCTTTTTTTATAGGGGTATTAGCAAATCGCGGGATTTATAATATGCGTCAAATCCCCTTGTGTTATAACTAATCATGCACAAAATCCTCTCTAAGAACAAATTTTACAATTTTAAAATATTTTTTTTAATAAAAATGGTTGAATATGTAAGTAATTTTGTCAAAATTTCTAAATTATACAAAAATAACTAATAATTTTTCATTTTTTAGAAATTAAATTTATTCTTGAAGGTGATTTGACGTATGATTAATTATAACACAGGAAGATTTAATGCATTTTTTAAATCACACTGATCAATGCCCCGAATTTATATTTCAATGCATGAAACCCACTATCAGAGTTTGGTATTGGTCAAAGTTTGGTATTGGTCAAATTTGACGTCTGGGCCCAGTTTTTATCCCAACAATGAGTGGTTGAGTACAATTCAACGAGCTCCATAGTGCACGTCTGCCCATAACTAATTTACGCAGTACCTAATATTATGAGTAATATTATGAGGGTCATGCTATGGTGCCTTTAAAAATTTGGAAGTTATGGTGCATCTCATTGTGTGAGCAAATGAAATAGTGACACATGGAAATAGTGTGACATGAAATAGTGTCATTAATGAATTGACTTGGAATGCTATTGGGTGAGAAAAGTAAATGTATGGTACACTCCAAATTTGAAGAGGTACCGTAGAAATCTCCTATGAGGATTTGAACGGGTTTGATTTGTCCGCAAATTATACCGTGGGATCGGTGCACCATCCTCATGGTATACCGATCCCAAAACGACATAGTTTTGCTCCGTATTAATTAAAAAGGAAGTATATGTGTTGCCGGTTTGATTCTCTACAAGATTAAAAAGAGACACTGTGCGTTTCTTCCTGAGATAGAGCATCGGACGTTGGTCATAAACTATCACCGGCGAGGAAGTGGCGGCGGTACAACAGCTCATCCTCAAGGCGGCGGCGGCGTGGCGCTCAGCCTTGACGGCGGCTTTGATCGATGCTGACGAGTAGATCCCACCAGAATATTCGGTACAGACCGATCAATCTCATCTTCCTTCATGTCCAGGCAATCCAACAGCTTGTTCACAGTGAAGTCGTGCTCTGCTATTTGGGCGACGGTGTAGTATATATGTTTATACACCAGAAATTGCTTTGTTAATATGGTTTCAAGAAGTTTCTGATTTTTTTAACCCATTACTATCAGATGATACAGAATTGGTAATTAACGGGTGACTAATTTTGGTGTATGTGATTTACATTTGAGTTACACATTTTCATGCGCGAGTTACACCTTCTGTAGCATAAGTTACATTTGTCATCAACACGAGTTACATTTGTAATAAGATGAGTTACAGTAGAAAATAACATCTGCTATTGAAACAATAAAAAATGATCTTTTAAAATAGTAGATGTTTATTTTGTGATGTGGCTCGTATTATGAAAAATGTAACTCGCGTTGATAAAAATTCTAACATATGTGTATGCAAAATGTAACTTATTGAGGCAAATCTAAATGTATCTCGTGCTTATATAGATGTAACTCACTTATAAAACGATGTAACTCACATACAAGAAGAAGATGTAACTTCATATATTATCAAATGTAACTCCTGAAATTGTCAATAAATATAACTCACACATGTAGAAACATATATTCCATTATGAAATGTAATCTCATATTTTATCAAATGTAAATCAAAATAACCAAATTTAATGTCTAGAAAATACTAAAAATATATAAGAGATATAATAAATACTACGTATATTATAGGAAAAAGGTAAATATGAAAAAAACAAATAAGTGTATAAATATAAAAAAATACTCGTATTTATTATGAAGAAAAAGTAATTATTTTTTGTTGTAATTTTAGTTGAATAAAAAAACAAAAGAAAAAAATATATCAATAAGGACCAAGAGAGAAGAAAAGTACTCCCTCCGTCCCAAAAAGATTGATATATTTTGACTTTTCTTGGTCAATGATGGTTAAGTTTGACCAATGATATCTTTTAATACAAAATTATTTAAAATATCAATATTATATGAACATATTCTTTATTAAAAAATCTTACATAAAAGTATAAAATTTATAAATTACAAACAAATATAATACATACATAAAATCATTGTCTAAACTTTACCACCATTGACCAAGAAAAAGCAAAATGTATCAATCTTTTTGGGACGGAGGTAGTAACTTTTTATTTGAAAGGCTAAAAAAATGATCATAAAATTGTAACAAAACATTCCAGTGTTCTTGAATTAAAAAAAGTTAGTTCGATATATGATACGAGTAGCTTTTAATGATGAAAAAGTTAAAAGTAAAAAACAAAACATAAAAAAGAAACGAGAGTGGGATTCTCAAGTGTGAGAAACGCGTTTTTTTAAACAAGATTAAACCAACGTCGTTTGGACAAGAGCATAATGCTCACTGTGGATGATCCCACAGACCGGATTTGTCGGTTAAACGTGTGATCTTTTTGTATTTTAAAATTATCCAAGTCTAGTCTGATTTGGATTGGTCTGAGTTGATCTGATATGATCTGATCTAGTTTGAGAGTGAAAACAGTTCAAGCAAAAACATCTTAAGAGTAACCTCACCCATGAGGGTGACACTAGTACAAAAAAAGCTTTTCACATTGGTCAAAAAAGGCTTTTCACATCGGTCAAACAGCCGATGTGGTTCCAGCACATGTGAAAAGTATTGACCTTTGACATCGGTCAAACAGCCGATGTGAAAATTCTTTCTACATCGGTCGTTTAGTGCCCGATCTAGAAGATAGTCCGAAACGGCGTTTTTAATGATATTTCAAATCGGTTATAACCCATGTAAAAAAGAAACCACATCGGTTACTTTATAACTGATGTAGAAAAGCTTTAATTTTTCCCGGAGCATTGGTTTTTCACATCGGTTATAACCCATGTAAAAAAGAAATCACATCGGCTATTTCACAACTGATGTGAAAAGCTTCGTTGTTTTTCGGAACATATGTGTTTCACATCGGTTATAACCCATGTAAAAAAGAAATCACATCGGTTATAACCCATGAAAATGCCAATTTTGAAGTTTTCATCATAAATGTGCTGCAATCGAGGAAAAAATGTAGAAAAATATTATAGGTATCCCATTTTGGGGTACTCCATTTGTACACCCCCATATTGTGTGGCTTAAAGGGGCAATTCATTTAAGTGAGACAAATCATTTAAGTGAGGCAAATCATTTAATAGGTGAGGTACAAATGGGGTACACCAAGCATATCTCAAAAATGTATTGAAGTCTCAAAGTAAGTGCATGACACCCATGTGGGGAATAGAAAAGATCAAAATTTTAAAGTGTTATAACTATACCAATTTCTACACAAATATTTAGGGATGGACGCGGTCCGGTCCGGTCCAATATTTTACCGAACCCGTACCCGGACCGTTACTATTGAAACAGTTCAGTTCGGTTCGGTCTTACACCTAAACCCGTTCGGTTCGGTTCCATTTTCAAACGATCCGGTATCATGTCATACCAATGCCAAACAATGCCACTTTTTGATAAATTAAAACTTAGTCATCATCCAAAAATCCACACAATTATCAATTTTAATACTACCTCCGTCCTAAAATACTTTGTCATTTCAAAAAATTTGAACCATGATTTTGATTAGTATAGAGTATTATGGAAGTTATAAATTTTATACTTTTATGAAAGTATTTTTAACAAAGAACATTTTCATATAATTTTTATATTATAAATAATTCTCAATAAAAAATATAATTGGTCAAAGTTTTGAAAATGGAAAAGTTTTTTGGGACAGAGGTAGTATTACATAGTTAATGAATTTCTTAAAAACTATAATAGTACAAAACATAAATAACTAGCAATAACATAGTTAATGAATTTCATATAATACTACTCATTTTTACCGATCCGGTTAACAAGCAATTAGCAAAGTGCAAATGAGTAATCAAAGTAATTAATGGTAATATGGTATACATGTATATATAATTATAAAATTATATAAATTAACAAAATTATAATTCGGTTCGGTTCGGTCCGGTACCGGTTCTCATCTTATGAGAACCGGTCATGACATGGTTTAGAATCGGTCCGATCCGATTCGGGACAAAATTGTTGAGAACCGTTTGAAATCCCGTTTTCCGGTCCGGTACCATACCGGTCCGGTTAGGTACCATGCCGGTTCGGTTATTTTGCCCACCCCTACAAATATTTTTAAACTTTTCATATGACACCAATATTACACAGGTCTGAACTAACAATAGTAAAATCAAACTCCAAATTAAATTTTTAACATCTTTTAGTTATTTTTTTCAAAAATAGGTCTGAACTAACAATAACACACGAACTCCAAATTTATAATTATTTATAATTATTTGTAAATAACTTGACAAAAAAATGATGTATATTAATAAAATTAAGGCTAATTAAAATAATTTTGTTGGATGAATATATTGATAGTGCTGAATTGCAAGCAAAAATTTAATTGAGTGAGTATATACCAAATTTTCATATAAAATGATGAAAAAATTGATTTATTGACGGAACTAAGTTACGGTGAATCTATCCCGTTAACTTTTTTATGATGCATAATAATTAAAATAAGTAAGTTTCAATGTCATAAATATTTTCTAAGTAGAGAGTTTTACTTGAACTAGGGAGTATAATTTTGTGTTCTGGTCTAAAATCGTTTGAAATTGATTAGTGACGACGAATAAGGTACGAGAAGTGAAATTTGACGGTTGGGTCCGTCCATCTATTATACCAGCAACGAATACAAATTGAATGGACCCGCCAATCCGTGAGCGTAGCTCAACTAGTAACAAGAGAGTGATACAAGGATTAGGTTCCGGGTTCGAATCCCGTCAACTGCGATGAGAAGTTACTATGCTAAAAATGCATAGGGCCTCTGCAAGTATCGGAGACAGAATCCCGTTCTATCAGATTGAGATTATAATTCAATTTACATTCTCCCAACGTACCATCCGTCGAAGTTGGGGGATGGGTGTCATCCTTTTTTTGAATGGACACGCCAGTCCGGGCTGCCCACCCTGCCCTGACTTTTCTTGACTTCCAAACGCTTAAATTTAGAATTTACTTCAGTGCAATAATCGCAGATCCGCAGTTGGGAGATTGAAAGAAAGAGGCACAGGTTATAAGTGCAGCTAGTGATTTGTTAATAATTAAGATGAACGTGGTTTCGTTTATAATATTCATCAACATCTTGGTTCATGGTTTGGCACTCGTCGACGGGAGGAAGAATATGAAGATGAGCCATGGTGGCCTGGAAGCCGCGCCCGAGGAAGAGGCCGCGGCGGCGGAAGTTTTGAATCCATTGAATGATGAATATGAAGAATCATTAAGAGCAGGCGGAGTACGGTTACCATCTCCCATGCCCAACCCCTCACGCCGTCAAATTCCTTTTCCGCCCCCGCCTCCCTCTCAGCCTCCGTCTCAAAAGTATCCTGTTATGGCAGCGTCAAAGCAGCTGTCCCCACCCCGCCGTCTACTTTGCATCTAGTCTAGTTATCAAAAAACTTGAGTATGCGTACTTTGATCTTAATTAGATGGAAAGCTATGGTGAATTTCATAAAATCGGATATCCAGTTTTATTAGAAGAATAGAACAACCCAAAATCCCTAAGTACGAGCAAATAATTAATGTTTATATGAAAATCCTATTTGAGTAATTACACCCTTGGTGTACTACACAGGATTAGACCACTTTATTTGCCATTTACATACACTTCTGATACGATTGTCTGTGTGAGAAAAAAATTGGTTTGTAATTGATGTAACTTTTTGCAGATCTATCTGGGTAGTTGCATAGAAACCAGTGTCGGTGTACATAGACTTAGTTGTCTGTGTAGAAAAAAGTGTTTGTACATACTTCTTCCGTAACGCAAAGATCTTCCCACTTTCCTTTTTCTTTCGTAACAAAAAGATCTTCCCCTTTCTAAAAATGGAAATAAAAATACACCAATTTATCTATTCTACCCTCACTTATTGCTTCTGAATTTACCATATTACCCTTAAATTTGAAATTTAAAACATAACAAGGCCAAATGGCCATCACATCTCGGCCCACTCATACCCTACTAAAGTTTGGCTCAGGACTCCCAAACCCTACTACATTCCCGACTCCTATCTCTCCATCTGGTTTTACCCTTCTCCTTCTCAGCATCTCCCATGGAATCTGGAAAAATTGAGCCCAAAAATCCCTCTGCAGCCGGCGACCATGGAGCAGTCCTAGCGTCGCCCTCAGAGGCAGACGTTATTCAGTCCCCCGTCGTTGATTCCCTTCACTCTTGGCCTTCATCTCCCTCTGAAGGCCCTCCTTCTCCGGAATGGTACCTATCTCCATCTGATACCGACGATACCGACCCGACTTGGAAATGGAGGAAACGTTATGAGGGGTTGATTCTGCCTGACAGTGACGATGGCTATGAGGATCTCGACAACATGTGGATGGATGTATCTTCAAAAAGGGCAGCCACACCAACCCCTGTGGCTACGGTCGATGATGATGAAGCCTTGTCACAGGGGAGTTCTTAGTCCCTAATTTATTTTCTTTGTTATCCAATAATTGCATGTTTGTTTGACATGTGCTGTAATATTTGAAATTTATGCTGCTTATTTGGCTTGAGTATTCTCTTGTACTGTTTGTAATGAATAAACGTTGTCCTGAATGCATTTATGCCTTTACTATTATTTGTGATGTTTTTTATGATTATCTGGCCGTTGCTGAGTCTGGATGAGAATAATGAACTCCTGCCATGGATGAATCATAATTTTTTCTTTACTAAGCACTTTGATTGGTTATCATGCTTATTAAGACTGGGTTAATTGTAGTCTCGTCTGTGATGAATGTATTTACAACTTACCCCATACAATATTAAATAACACTTCGAATTCATTGATAAAGCAAACTCATCTCTAACAGAAGCATACATTACAATTGAAATGACATGGAGTCCTACATTAAAATAAGCTAGAGGTTTGTGTTTTTAGCAGTGCCTCCTCATATACCTGCTTACTCACACCAAAGGTCCGAGGTAACAGACCACGTCTTTGTAATGCATCTTTTCCTAAATGCTTCAATTTGTAATTATTTCCTCCCCCACAATTTAGCACCTCTTGCATAACAGTTTGATAGGATAGGAATACCTTCTCTAGAGTGGTGGCTGAGAGTTCATTAAAAGATTCTTCCACATTTCCAACCAATTCAAGAAGTGAACTGCTATGTTTTTGGTCTTTTAGGGAATCAATTGCTCGAAAAAATCCCAGGTCAAGTACATTTAGATCAGGGCTGTTTGGTGGTTGGCATTGCAAAGAAATATTCCAACCATCAGAATTTGCTTCTCTATGAAAGTCAGCATCATCAATAAGCATATGCGGCTTCGCGTTGTCTTGTTGAATGATGATGTTCCTATTAAGCACATCTGGCCATTTTTCTTTAATAGCCGGCAATAATCTAGATAGAAACATTTCTTTCATAACTTCCCGCGTTATACTAGTAATAGGTTTAACTTCTAGTGATCCTCTTGGCCTGTTTATACTAGAACGAATAGCAGCCCCAAGGTATGTGAAAGGCCAAATACCTAACTTTCCATCCCATAACACTTCCCCCCCCCCCCCCTTCTCCGAACCTAGGCCTACTCACAGCAGCTAAAAACATAATTTTTGGAATAAAATTCTTTGATTGAGCACTTCTGTATGGATCGGGTTCATCGTTTGCCAAGTAGTATTTTTCAGTTTCCTTAGTTGTGTTAAACCACTTTTCATCTATATGAATGCAGTCGTACATGTTTTTAAAAGTAGGATTGAATGGAATAGACTCAGGGGTCAGTAGATGAAGGCAATGTTGTAACCTTTTAACTTTACCATTATCTGTTAGTCGTGGTTTAAGAGAGTTAGTGTGTCTTCTAACTTGTTTTTTTTTTGTAATAGTCTCCATACAGTCGTGTGTGACACTCCCATTGCATAGCCAACTGATCTAAGATTTTTCCGAAATTGAAGTGGTATGTGTTTAAGCTTTTCCAGATCAATAGTCATACCTTTTCTGCCCGAAGTACCTTTATACTTTCTATCCACATTAACTACCTCCCCTTCTAGTACTTGAAGCTTCATCTTTGTCCATATAGAGTTGATTGTTCTCCTACTTGTGTTGAACGTAGATGCAGTTTCTTTAATAATGCCCCTGTGAAGATTCCCCCCCTTGTGGTTTTGTAATAATCGTTGTGCAATTTGCTTCCTTTCATCATTGCTCAGCTTTGTTCTTGTTGAATGTAATGTTATCACCTGTTGTCCATTAGTGTGTGCATTGTCACCATTTGTATTGATTGTGTCTTCTTCATTACAATCAGGGGCTAACTCTTCATGTGCATCTGTGTTTGCCACAATAGGAACTTCATTGAGGTCCAGGAGGGGAGCATGGAGCTGTTGCCAAGTCAAAATGGGGAGATTGTTTAGGTTTGGGATGCAAGACAACATATTACTTCTCATTTCTATTTTTTCTTGGATTGTGTACAAATATTTGTATTGAGATTCATGTATTTAAAGGGAAGTTTGCTGAATTGCAATTTGAAAAGGAGGGAATATATAAAAAAAATCCCTCCAAACATTTCGTATGGTGAATGATTGTGTAATTCAAGACTTTTCATTTTTCATATTTCACCTACTTTTTTGGACTTTTCCCAATATTTTCAGAACTCCTGCACAAGGGCAGAACAGTCTTTAGAGTGTTCTGCTGGTTACTGTAGTTAATCTCACCAAATATTGTAATGGGAACATTCTAGGGTTACGGAGGAAGTATATAATTTTTGTTTGTGTACATAGACATTTGTTTCGGTGCAATTTGACCCTGACTTTTTAAACATTTTTTGTATGTGTACATAGACACTGAAAGAAAACCAGTGTCTGTGTACAAACATTTTTTGTCTATGGCGAAAGTTTATAGAAACTTACTAGTTTTTTAAGTTTCATCTTTCATTACAGACAGTATTTATCGTTATTTAGCACCATACAAACAAAAATTCAAGCGGGGCTAACTTTCTGAAGAGTTTCCGGTAAATTTTCCGATGAGTTTCGGTGAAAATGGTGAATTGGTGATGGAAGATGATGATGATGGAAGGTGATGGTGAATAAAACGTAAAAAGAAAGAATAAAGATAATGAAAGAAAAAGAAGAAAAGATGAGGAAGGAAGGAAGGAAGGAAGTGCTCGTGTGATGCAAAAGGGAGAGGGGGGAGGGAAGAGAAAAAAGTGGGAAGGAAGGGAAGTAAATTATGGGGGGTCATAGGGTGCACCCCCGATGTAACCCAATGTGTACCTTAAGCAAAATTCTTATATTTTACTTATACGTAGAGAATTCCGTATATATTTAGTGCATGTTTGAATGTTTGATAATTCGACTGTATTGTCCGATTTCGCTAGAACTTATGAAATTCTGGTTGAAGCGGCTAGATTGATTGATTCTGTTAATAGAATAAAGAAAAAATAAATGAAAATAGTTAAAATGATTTCCACAGTAAATTCAACCAATACAGTCAGAAAAGTTAAATTAATCTTACTTTTTCTTATTATTACACAATCTAACGCACGAAATCAAAAGTTATGTGTTTTGTGACAAAGTTGACTGATAGACTAATAGGTCGAAAATCAGAGTTACCAAACAGGTTCTTATTGTGCATACAAGTTAGAATTCGAAATAAGGTCATCATATCACATTTTTTTGGTGATAATATATTTAATAAGATACATCTTGCTCAAACCATGAGTGAGAAACCCAAGCCGTCCTATTCGCCTATCTTCTAAGACTTTTAGTTCTCATCTTCTTCTTAACTTAAGGAATGTCTAAAAAGTGATTTGATGCTCGCATGAGTTGTGATTTATTCCTTGATGTGTCTATGGTTGTTATTATCATGTCAATTTTTACAGTTACTTTATGGGTGGCTTCCATTGAAATTAGCAACGCGGGTTGCTAAAAGATGATATATTGTTGTTTAATTGCTATTGAAGACACTCTTGCATGCATAGATGTACTTTTCTCAAGAGGTTATTTTTCACATATTGTCTATGGCGCTATCGATGGTTCGCCCCCTCTTGAATCACCATCATTTATTGAAAGAGTGATTCTATATTTTTATCAGACCGATGCACTTCAAATTGGAATAAAAATCATTGATGTTCTGTCGAGTGTGACATTCTACAAGTCTACTCGAATCATATAAGGGCACTACGGCTACATGATTGGACAAAGATGACTAGTTTTGATGGTGTTTACAATTTTGCTTATTTGTGCACTTTTTATTATTTTTTGTTGGTTCGTTTTAAATATTTTTAGAGAATTTGTGGGTATTTTATACAAAGGTTAGAAGCATAGAGATCAACATGATCGGTTAAGCTTCCATTTGTCCGTTACATGGTTAGCGACTTTTGCGTCTCATTTGTGAGTGACAAAATCTAAGTCTAACAATTGGGCTTCTGATTGAGATTGAAATTATCTTGAGTCTATTGTAATGATTTTAATTTATTAATTTTAATATAAGCAGTTTTCTATTATAAAAAAGATTTATTTTGCTAAAATCCTCAATCTCTGTTTAGTGTAGTGATCGTTAGGGTCCTAGTGAATTGGGTTGGGCCATATTTGTCCAAAACAAATGGCTTTGTGCTAGCTTGGGGTTGAGTTCATTATAAAAAAAGATTAATGCGTCAGGGCGAACCGGACTTTTTGAACAAAATTGTAGCTCTAGTTTATCGGTATAAGTTGGATTAAGGAGCCAGATTGAGCCACTTGTCACTGATAGG